ACCATTTAAACTCCAAATTACACACCCACAGACATGTATTGTTACAACAAATGTGTAACTTATAAACTTGTCTGTTCAGACAAAGCCTTGATCCTAAATAGAAAAAAAAACCAAAACATTGAGATTTGGGGAGTACACCACAGTGCTCATAATCAGTAAATAAGTTTTAAAGACAAGAGCTGTATGAAGAGAAAAAAGGAATTAAATCAGTGATATTTTCTGTGTGAATTGGCCCTCAATCTCTCTTCATTCAYTGGAAGCTTTGAAGAAAATGCCTTTACAAGTTAATATTTGTTTCTAAATCGCTTCCTCATTTCTGCAGCTCTCACACCAATCAGGTGTTGGGGAGCTCCTCAAGGAGCTCATTACGGCTTTAGCAGCAAAGCCAAACCAATAATGAACTGTTTTCCAATTCTATTACAGACTCCRTGGCAGGCTGGGAGAACAGCAGAARTCCCAGTGCTACAGCTTGAGGGTATTCAGCAAATGAGAGGGGTCCAGCCAAAAGAAAGCCCCACAACTCAGCCCAGTCCAGCTCAGGATGAGCTTTAAGGTCCCTTCCAACACAAACCAGTCAGGGATTTTATAATTTTTGCTTTGGCTCAAGAAAACCAAATTCATTCAATAAAACTTTTGGCTCTTAGCCAGTTTGGAAAGGAAACAAGAAGAATTTTTACCTCATCTCTCGYTCCTCGTGCTGGGCAATGAGGTTGCTGTAGAAGTTTTCCAAYGTCACCTTTGTCATCGTAACTCTCTCCTTGGTGTGGTTGCTCATGGACGAACACGGCGTGGGGCCAGTCATGGCCATGGCTGGTAGGGAAGGAAAATCAAACATTAAAAATGACAAATAATCTTCAAACAAGAGCCCAAAGTCATTAAGTGATGCTGAATCACAGAGTTCAGATTTTAACAACAAATRTCACCAGTATAAACCAAGTAGGGAACGGTCTGACRAAGTAAAAGGTACAAGTCAAACTTCCTGTTTTGAACATTTTTCATCTGAAAATGAGAGGGAAGGAAGCTTAAGAAACATGGTGCCTCAAAAACCACAAKTTCAGCCAGTACTGCAAATGTTTATTGCTTCCAACACATTCTATCTTTAATAAATGTTCAAAATTCAGGAACATCACACTGAAATATCCAGTTCAGAAGATATTTTTCCTACRACTCCTGCAGAAATAATTCCACCAGTTGCCTAGTAGCCCTTCTGCTGTGAATTTTATCTAAACCCTGAAAGTCATCCCAATAACAGAGCAACTGAGGAAGGAGCAAAAAGGATATTTAGTAGCCTTTAYGCACTTTTACTAGATGTTTTCACACAAAAATTTGGCCAAATCCAGAGGATCACTGCCTTTTACCATGCTGTAGTTTAAAAAATAGCAAAAAGCCCAAACCCTAGTGTGAGTATCTGACATATTTCTTCATAAGAAATACATATATTTTTTAATATTCTATTTCTGAGACTACAGTACTTAAAATATTCGAGTGTGCCACTCCAAACCTGCAGCAGTTTCAGTGTATTTGACACCCCAGCTCTATTTCCTGATATGCGTTAAAAAAACAAAGATTTCAAACGTACTACTAAGTCTTGCCCTGGTTCTCCCGGGCACCACCTAACTCACAGTAAGGTAACAGAGTTTTGTAACTATTACTAGAAATTGCAGTCAAAATAGGTGAGACACTTCCCATTTTTACAACCCTGGGTGCTGCCAACATGCTCCAGTGACTCTTCCTGTTCACTTTTTGCAGCTCTTTACGAGGCGTCACCGCAAACCACCTCCTCCCCAGACAGAAGCTACGTGTGTGCTGCCTTCACAGCAYCCTCGTGGGACAGGAGCTGGGGAGCATCTCCAGCTGGGGGACTTTTGAGCTGGAATCACATCTTTGTGTGAGATGGGACTGTGGCTTTATGGAGGAGCAGCTCTGAGTGACACACACGAATGGGGGGTCACA